AAAAAAATTAAAAATCAACAAAAATCAAGGGTCTCCCTTTACCAAGGCTGCGAAGGATTTTGTTCATTCCAGTTCGTTCCGTCTCTGGAATACTCTCCAAATACTCCAAGGCACGGATCTCAAAAAGGCCTGAAGAGAAAAAAATAAAAAAAAATTAAAAATCACTCACCTACATGAGCTACTCCACGCTTTACCATGTGGCATCTTCTATGCTTAACAAGGTTATGAAAGGAAATCCTGCATGTAGTGTCTGTAACCTGCAGGATCGAGCCCAGAAAGGAGAGATGCAACAACTCTCTGCTTCATAAGATGAATTTTGTTGAGTTACTGGAAGAGAACGGGGCTACCCCATATGCCAAAATCCCAACAGGACAACCTTCCAGGACAAGAAGAAAGACCAAACCTACCTTTGACCACGTTCTTGCTCAGCTCCCGGTCCTGGATGAACCCTGCAAACATCTGTGTTTCCATGAAGAACTGCAGGAAGTGGCGCACGTTGCGGGACACGTGGGATTTGCGGAAGGGCTCCCGCTGGAACACCCGCTCCCCCTTCTCCGTGACGGTCATGTGCAGGGAGTAGTGCCCAACAATCTCCACAAAGAACTGCACAAAAGCCTCGGAGACCAGCGAGTTCAGAGTCATGTCCCCTGCAAGGAGGACACAGAGGGATTTCCCATCACTTTGGTCACTCCTCTTCCAAAGGAGAAGCAGCCCTTAGGTCCTTCTTAGCTCTTAGGAAAGCAGTGACCTCAGTTATTTTTTGGGCTGGCTGTCTCAGACTATGAAATCTCAGATGACTCTTTGATATCAAACAGGTCACAGCTCAAATATTCAATTTCCCATGTCAGCTTTGTGCTGCAGCTGGGACAGGTTCAATTCTAAAGCCTTTCCAGTAGTTAAAGCGTTCAGAATTCCATTTTTCCTGCCAAACATCTCGTGTCTAATATGCTGACAGGCTAAGTTTAATTCTCTTAAAGAATTAGACAAACTACAGAACACAAACCCACTGGAAAACTAACTTTGTTACCTCTCATGTGTATGGGATTACATCATTTGACAATGCCATTCTCTGCAGCCATCCAATGCTTTTTAAAACTCTCACACTTCCTTATCTGATGGATTATGTATAAATCAGTCCAGCTTTGAAAATGATCTGTCAGAGTACCTTCTAAAGTACAGAAACTCTCTGTTTGAGAAAAGCATCGTCTCTGCCACTTAAGAAAAATCAAAAAAACCTCAAAGCACAGGAACTGATGCCCTTGGCCCAAGGAAAGCTACAGCTCTGCACATACTGATTGTGAAAAGAGGAACAACTGTCAGCACACCAAACTTCTCACACGTTCACAAGCAAGATGTCCTCAGTGGGATCACAGGGAAACAACTAAAATGTCCCTTCTTAATGTTTATTCCCATTTGCTCATTTTTATACCAACTCCACAGCAGCTCTAAAGATCTGCTAATGGGAAAACACTTTTCCACAGAAAATTTTCCACAGAAGTACCTTGTGTGTCACTCTGCCCATGTGACAGGATTTCACTTCGTTCTTCCAAGACTTGTACAAGTGCAGCCTGGAGTTTATGAGGCAGGATCTCGTCTTCATCTGATACCTACAGACAAAAATTGGCCAAGGAAGGATTTTTGTGTTAGATCCATCAGCAGCAGAACCAGGGAACAGATTAGAAATATCCATAACGTGCCTAAAGCAGTTGAAGGGGAGTTACTCTGGGATATGGTGGATCTTGGTGGAGCAATGTATTTGTTTTGTAGCCAGAGAAATGAAAAATATTTGCTCAGCACCCTCCAAACACGTTCTGTTAAAGTCACACACACAGCTGGCCAACACAGAACACGTGCTACAGCCACGACACAGACTCAGGCTTATTTCAGCAGTGAAAAAACACACAACAACAAACAACAACAAGTCTGTTGAGAAAATATGACAAGTCTCAACCCCCAAAAATTTGGGTTTTAAAAAAACCCCAATCCTTTAATACCTTTCTCCAGTTGCAGGCTGCAATGCAAAACAGGACAGTGAGGTGAGGGAAAGGAGAAGCAAATATCCTCCTGAACTAGTAATAAATATCCCAGTTTGTAGGTCCTTGTCTGGTGATGCAGAAGCACTTTAGGTGGAGTTCAGCAAAGAAGCACAAGTGAACTGTGATAATTTGTTCCCTAGATTATCACTCCTGGGGAAAACAACCACCTAAACCAACAAACACACCTCACCTAGATGAGAGAGGAGAAAGTATTTTACAGAACAAGTACAGGGAGAGACAGCCAGAAGGCAGCAGAGGATCTTAGTGATCTCCTTCACATAATAAACCAGGTATCCATTTTTAAATTCAGCTCAGACAAGCAGCATCTTTGGCTATGCAGAGCTCTCCATATCATGCAAATGGGATTTTTAAGCCTGTTCCCTTCTCTGTCAGTCCAAAGGGATTACAAGGTTATTTCTTCAGCCACTGGAGTCTACATACGAACACCAGCTTATCCTGAGTGCTTGTTTTTATTTCTTTCATTGATGCCTTTTCCTGGCATGAGTGACTGGCACTGTTATTTCACTCACCTCTTGCAAGAACTTGTCGGCACAAAGATCAACAATGAGAACCTGAGGAAAGATGTACAAAACACACTGACTCGTAACCAGGTATGTTGCTGTACAGAAAATAAACCCAACTCTTTTTGTTTGTTTGTTTGTTTTAAATGTCCTGTCACACAAGTTCTGCCTAACTGCAGCCTGTGTCTAAGAACACTGATTATTCCTGTCTCTAAGAACAGTGAACATTATTTATCTTTGATAACACTGGAACACCCTGACCGGTGTCTGCCAAGTTCACCAACTTCTCAAAATGGTTGAGTTTATGTTAAGACAGAATCCAGAGATTATTCCAGAGGGGGCAACCTCATCCCACTGACACTGTCCCTCACCCCATTCTCACCTCTTCTATGGGCAGGTCCTGGAGCTGTGGTAAGGAGCAGGAGAGAATGCCAATAAGGAACGGG